AATTTCTACAGTATATCCTTTGTTATCATTTCAACAGCATTCATAGCTTTATCACCAGTAGTAGCTTTCATACATCTCAGGGAGCCACTTTGTTTATTTGAATGAAGCAACTCCTCCAAACATTAAGGCTTTATCATGAGATTGCCCCAATTCAGGCACATCTTGCACATCTTCAGGCTTCTGATTCTCTTGCTATTTCCACCATATATGCAGTTACTTCCTTCACTGAAGTCTTGAATCTCTCAAAGTCATCTCTGATGGTTAGATTCAGCTTCTTCCAGATTCCTGCAAATGTTGCTATTTTGATCTCTTATGAATCACAAATATTCTTAAAGGCATCTAGAATGGTGAATACTTTCCAGGACATTTTCAGTATACTTTCCTGATATCCAACAAAGGAATCACTCACTATCCACAACAAGTATAGCCTTACACTAAGACTTGAAAGTCAAAATTATTACTTGATCCATAGGTTCTATGAAGAATGGGTGTTGTGTTGGTAGGCATCAAAATAACATTAATTAGGCCAGTGCTGTGGCATAGTGGGTAAAGTCGCCACCTGTAGTGCTAGCATCCCATGTGGGCACCGGTTCAAGTCCCAGCTGCTCCACTTCCGATCCAGCGCTCTGCTATGGCCTGGGAAAACAGTAGAAGATGGTCCAGGTGCTTGGGCCCCTGCACCCATGGTGGGAGACCTGGAAGAAACTCCTGGCTGCTGGTTTCGGATCGGCACTGTTCCAGCCATTGTTGCCAACAGGGAAGTGAACCAGCAGATACAAGACCTCTCTTTCTCTCCCTCCCTCCCTCTCTCTCTCTCTCTCTCTCTCTCTGCCTCTCCTTCTCTCTCCGTGTAACTCTGACATTCATTTGATTCATTTGAAGACAGAGATAGAGAGAGAAAAAGATCTTATATCTGCTGATACATTCCCCAAATGGCTGCAATGGCCAGAGCTGGGCCAGGCCAAAGCCATAAACTAGGAGTTTCTTCCTGGTCTCCTACATGAGTGCAGGGAGCCCAGGAGCTTGGGCTATCTTCCAGGGCTTTCCCAGGCACATTAACAGGATGCTGCATTGGAAGTCAGCCTGGACTTGAATAAGCGCCAGTATGGGATGCTGATACCGCAGGCACCAGCTTAACCTTCTACACTATAGCACCATCCCCCAAAAATCTATTGTTTAATGTTGCCACCTTCATCAGTTGTCTGATGAAGATCTTCTGGATGATGTGCTCCTGTTTCTTCATCAACACTTGCTGCTTCAACTTCTGTTAGCTTCATATTCTTCTTCAGCTTCCTTGCCTGTCTTGGCGCTCATAAAATTGAGGAGAAGTAGGCCCTTACTCTGGATTAGGCTTTACTTTAAGGAAATGTTATGGCTGGTTTGACCTTATAGTCAGATTACTAAAACTTTCTTTATATCAACAGTAAGGCTGTTTTTACTTTCCTGTCATTCATGTGTTCACTGCAGTTGTACTTTTTAAAAAAGTTTTATTTATTTGCTTGCTTGCTTACTTGACAGGCAGAATGACAGAGAACAGAGAAAGATGGAGAGCTAAAGAAGGGGAGAGCGGGGCCGGTGCTGTGGCACAGCAGGTTAATGCCCTGCCCTTGGCTATCTGTTTGGGACAAGGGTTCTTTCTTTCAGTCTGTTTTGGCTTTTGACATGCTTTCTTCACTAAGCTTAATCATTTCTAGCTTTTGATTTAAAGTGAATGATATGAGACTCCTCCTTTTACTTGAACACTTAGAGGCCATTTAATCTAATTTCAGTATTGTTGAGTCTGAGGGAATAAGGAGGCCTGAGGAGAGGGAATAAGAAAGGAGGGGGGGGGTGACCAGTCAGTGGAGCAATCAAAACACATGCAACTTTATCTGTTTAATTCACTATATTATATGTACATGATTCATGGTACCCCAAAACGATTAGAGACATCAAAGATCACAGATCACCATAACAGATGTAGTAATAATGAAAAGGTTTGAAATATTGTAAGAATTATCAAAATGTTGCACTGAGACCCAAAGTGAACACATGCTGTTGGAAAAATTGCTCCATTAGACTTGCTGGATGCAGGGGTGCCACAAACCTTCAATTTGTTAAAAAACAAAAAGTGTACAAAGCACAATAAAAGCAAAATAGCAAAATACAATCAAATGAGGTATGCCTATAATAGATATAAAATTGCTTTGCAGAAAGATTATTTCAATGTACTCCCTATTACCTGTGCATTCGACTGCTTATTTCCATACACTGCCATCAACAATGAGCCTTATCTTTGGTCTTTTAAATACTTTTTCCAGATATTGAGTTAATATTTCAGTTTTGCTTATGTGGATTGTTTTATAAGCTACAATATAATAGTTTGAGTATATGTGTATTGTGGGGAGCAACTCAGACTAGACTAAGTTACTGGAATTAAGACTTATTCTATGCATCTGCTCTCCCACAATATGGCACTGGGAGAGGAGTAAACAACTTCTACACAGCTGCCTCTCGCCAATTTGACTGATGAGCTGCAGGAGCTGATCTTGCTCCTGATTGGAGGAGAGCAGCGTGCTCGGCGTGTGGGTAGTAGAGTTGGGATTGGTGGAAGAGGACTGTAAAGGAGGAGAGAGACAACATGCACCAGGAACATCTATCTGAAGGAACATCTGAACAGCCCCTGAGAGAGCCGGCCGGCGGTGTGCCGCTCCCCCACGGAAGTGGGGAAAGTGGCAGGGGGAGCCGCCCCTCCACAGAGGTAGAGGGGTCGGCAGCCAACCCGGGAAGGACCAGCAGCAAACCTGGGAAGGGCCGAGCAGACAAAAGAACAGCGCAGGGTTTAGTGTCGTTCCTCCGCGAATGGGGGAGCGACAGTGTATATATATTAATCTCATTGGTTTTAGAAGGTATGATTTTGATTTTTAATATGCCTCTAAAGCTGAAACTAAAAAAACTTAATGAGAATGTTGCCTAACTAAAAAAACTTAATGGGAATGTTGCCTCAGAAACATTGGAAAAAGAAAAACATGAGATAAATTTGGACCAGATTAAGCATAATGAGAAAACTGTATTTTTGCTGACATTTTTCATAACCCAACATCTCCAATATAGTCAATACTAAGACCCCTGCTTTCCTAAAACACAGTATTGGAACTGTCCTATCATGAACTGCCTAAAATTATATAAAGCTTTCAACTACAAAGATGGAAATATGGAAAACTTTTTAAGATTTTTTTTAAAAGATTTATTTTATTCATTTAAAAGATAGGTTAGAGAGAGAGAGATTTTCCATCTGCTGGTTCACTTCTCAAATGACTGCATTGGCTGGGGCTGGGCCAGGCTGAAGCCAGGAGTCAGAACTTCTCTGGGTCTCTTACATGGGTGCAAGGACCCAAGAACTTGGGCCATCCTCTTCTGCTTTTCCAGGCACATTAGCAGAGAGCTGGATCAGAAGTGGAGCAGCTAGGACATGAACCAGTGCCCATATGGGATGCTGGCATTGTAGGTGGTGGCTTAACCTGTTGTGCCACAACACTGGCCCCAGTTTTTTTCTAAGTTTTATATCATGTCTGCTAGCTTAATAAGAAATTTATGTCTCTTCATCATAATTGAATAACTTTTTAGCAATATGGGGGTGGTTATAGTTGAAAATAAGAAATTTAACAGAAACAAGTACAATTTTTTTTAGTTTTGAATTAACATGAAATACTTGCACATTTTTAAGGAGCAAGATACAAAATTTCAACACCTATACATAGCTTTAACTGACCATACCTGGCAAATAGCCTCTCCATTTCCTTATCTTTTCTTCCAGTTCTTTATGCAGAATATGATACATCATGATAAACCATAGTCACCCCCCTGGGCTGCAGAACACCAGCACCCATCAGGTTCACCCTGCTCTGTTTTGATACCCATTATTCAGTCACCCTCATCCCTCTCAACTTCTAGTAATCAGGTCATCCCTCTTCTGGGTATATATCCAAAGGAAATGAAATCAGTGTATGAAAGAGATACCTGCACTCCCATGTTTGTTGTAGCACTATTCACAATTGCCAAGGTATAGAATCAACCTAGATATCTATCAGTGGATGAATGGATAAAGAGTGTGGTATATACATGAAGGGTTTCTGTGAGTGAGACCCCAGTGGAAAGGGGCCATCAAAGAAGTATATACTTTTCTCTGAAGGGAGGAGAGAACTTCCACTTTCCTTATGGCCTTGTCCAAATACTGATGGAGTCTGTGGTCACAAAAGGCTTCCATAGCTTTGGCAGCTCATGGCAAGAGCCTCAGGTGATCACTGACGTCATAAATAAGCATGTTAATTGTTAAATGAACAACAGGAGCCACTGTGCACTTACTCCCCATGTAGGACCTCTGTCCTTAATGAGTTGTAATATGAAAATTAACTGCAAAACTTGTTCTCAAGCTGTACTTTATTTATACGTTTGTGTGTGTGTATGTGGGTGCAAACTGTTGAAATCTTTACTTAGCATAGAGTTGATCCTCTGTATATAAAGTTAAACTAAAAATGAACCATAATGGGATGGGAGTGCGAGCGGGAGGGCAGGTATGGGAGAAAGTACCATTATGTTCCTAAAGTTGTACCTATGAAATTTGCATTGATTAAATAAAAGCTTTAAAAAAGTGTAGTATATACACAGAGTGGAGTATTATTCTGCCATAAAAAATGAAATCTTGACATTTGCAGCAAAATAGATGAAACTGGAAATCATAAATGAAACAAACCAGACAAAGAAAGACAAGTACTGTGTATTTTCATATATAGAAGTTAAAAACAATAATATATATGTATGTTTAATCCAAAGTAAAAATGAGTTGTTTAATATTTTCAGTTTGAAATACATTGGCCTTTGATTTAGAATAAAAGTTATATTTGTAATATTTTCAGGTATTTCACAAATATTTATATGATTCTAATATGATTCAACTAATGAAATATGGTTACATTTGAGATGACATGTAACTAACTGCTATGTTTTCTTTCTTTCAACAGTTAAAAGATGTTGATACTCGGAAAATCATAAAAGCAATGCTTTCTTATGTATGGCCCAAAGACAGGCCAGATCTGAGAGCTAGAGTTGCCATTTCCTTGGGATTTTTGGGTGGTGCAAAGGTAAGAATAGAAGAAATTATGCATTGTTTGGTTGCTCTATCAAAGAAGTACTGCCACATTTTATAATTATGAATCCTGGGCTGGTATAATTCACTTTGGGAGAAGGATGGCCAACTATTAGGACCCTCATTTAGTTTACATAATTACTTCAGGCAGTCACCAGAAATTATGTAATAATGCCCAGTTTATTGCTGGATCAGACTTTGAACAGTTTCAACTTAATGGAATTCACTCCTGAAGCTGATGTGAGATTCAGGAACATTGGTTGCAACTAAGCATAAGGAAGTTCATGAACGAAGAGTCTTATTGGCTCTTAATACATATTTCTGATGAGTTTGGTTCCCAGTACCCAGTAAATTGAAAGAAGATAGAGGCATTTTAGGCCCATTGATAGCCGCAAGTGGTAAATAACAGTTTAACATCAAGGGAAAAAGCAGAACAACTTAAAACCAACAACACAAATGCTGGCATTTTGGTCCACACACTTAGTAAAGGGTAGTACCTTTTACATTTCAGCAACCTCTTCAGTTTGTCATTGTACTATAAAGCAAAATTATATTGATGACCCTGAGTTTTCAAGAAAAAAAACCTTCATTTTTAACTTACTCAGATTTTAAAGTCAGGGAAGTATATATCTATAGATACAATAAAATATATTTATGTAATGAAGAGCATGGTCTCTGGAGTCAGACTGCCTGGATTCTACCACTTGTTACCCTTTTATCCCTGAGCAAGTTGCTTAGTGTCTATGCCTCAGTTTGCCTGTTTAGAAAATAGGATTCTTACAAGGATTACATAAATCAAGATATAAAAGGCTTAGAACAATGTCTGGCAGTAGTAAAAACAATATAGTTGTTAAATAAATTTACATTTCCAAATGTATGGTTAAAAGTGTTTGCTTAAAAATATAAATGCCATATGATGACAATTTGGTTGCCCGTCTTACATATAAGGATTAAAACTTTGTTTTAGAATCCAGATCTTACCACTATTTCTTCCATTTATCATGTATAGCCTCTTTTCTTTACCCATTCATTTCCCTCCCCTAAAAATACTTATTGAAAACTCATCACATAAAGTACTATTCTTGGCACTGCAGGGTATTCAGATATGATTAAAGCAAATTTCGTCCCTCAAATCATACAGAATAAGGCAAGTTTTATTTTTTATTTATTTTTTTTTTTGACACGCAGAGTGGACAGTGAGAGAGACAGAGAGAAAAGTGTTTTCTGTTGGTTCACCCCCAATGGCCGCTGCGGCCAATGCGTTGTGGCCAGAGCACCGCGCTGATCTGAAGGCAGGAGCCAGGTGCTTCTCCTGGTCTCCCATGCGGGTACAGGGCCCAAGGACTTGGGCCATCCTCCACTGCACTCCCAGGCCACAGCAGAGAGCTGAATTGGAAGAGGGGCAGCCCGGACAGAATCTGGCACCCCACCCGGGACTAGAACCCGGTGTGCCGGCGCCACAGGCAGAGGATTAGCCTGTTGAGCCGCGGCGCCAGCTGCAAGTTTTATTTTACTGCTATAATGCAAGGTAGGTCATAAATGATTTAAAGATGTACAGGGGTCTTCGTACTTTTTGCTTGTTGAACTGTTTAGTGAAGCATATAAACTAACCTAAAAGTGTTGTCACATGGCTGGCATTGTGGCATAGTGGGTAAAGCCATCACCTGTGATGCTGGCATCTCATATGGGTGCCTGTTTATGTTCTGGCTGCTCCACATCTGATCCAGCTCCCTGCAAATGGCCTGGGAAAGCAGTGAAAGATGGCCCAAGTATTTGGACCCCTGCCACCCATGTGGGAGACCCAGATGAAGCTCCTGGCTCCAGGCTTTGACCTGGCTCAGCCCTATCCATTGCAGCCTTCTGGAGAGTGAACCAACAGACAAAAGATCGATCTCTCTCTCTCTCTCTCTCCCCCCCCTCTCTCCCTGTAGCTCTTTCAAATAAATATTTTTTAAATGTCACAAAAATAAAAAATGAAAAGGGAGAGAGAGGGAGGGAAGTATCATTATATTCTTAGAACTGTATAAACTGCATGAAATCTGTTCTCTTTATATTAATTTTAAAAATATAAATAAAAAAGGAAGTACCAGTCAAGTGTTGTGGGGGTTTTAGAGGAAAGATGTGAACCATGATAGGAAGTCAGGAAAGGTTTCATAGAGCGGATAACATGGATAGGCCGTGACTGATGGGTAGGTATAGGCATTATGTGAATGGAGAGCTAGATAAAGCATGTAGTGTGTGTAAGAAGTGAGTAGCCCAGCTTTGCTCCAATGAGAGGAAAATATTTCAGAAAAATTTATTTCATTATATAGGAAATAGGAACTTTTGTTTTTGAGTAGAGAACTGATAAGGTTAGAACTGTGCTTTAGGAAATTAATCTTGCCCCATTGACCAAGATGGATTAAAGTGATGAGAGACTTAAAGTAGAGGTACCATTCAGTTCTTGCATTCATTCAGCTGATGTTTATTAACTAGTTAGGAAGCTGTAGTCCAGTCCAGGTGAGAAATAGTTTGTACTAGAGTGATGATAAAAAAGGTAAAATGAAGATAAAATATGTTAAAAAAGATATTGTGTGATGGGGGATGTAGAGTCAAGAAGACTTAACAACCAGTTGGATAGTAGAAGTAAAAAATGATAGACTTCAAAGATAATGCCAAGATGAAAGAATGTTAGTGGCTTTCACATAAGTAGTTAGTAAGTCAAGAAGTCTTGTTTGGAAAGGTGAAGATCTTGATCTTGGACCTGTTTAAGGTGCTAGTGAAACACCCAGATAAAGCTATTCATTTGGTAATAGAAAATGCAGTGTAGGCTCAGGAAGGAGCCCACAGCTAGAGAAATTAAGAGGTGATTGCTGGAACAATGCAAATTGGTGATTTTGCCCAGGAAAAGAACAGAAATAGAAGACTAAGGACAGAGCCTTTGGTTAATATGCTCTTGTATGGAAGTAAGCAGTAGAAGAAACTGGGAAGGAGTAATTGAAGAAGTGGATAAAATCAAAATAATTTACAATGAGACTTTTTAAAAATTTATTTTGTGGGAGGTGAGTGGGCGAAGAGAGCAGACATACTCATCTGCTGGTTTATTCCCTATATACCTGCAATGACTATGACTTGGCCTGACCAAATTCAAGAGCTGGGTACTCAGTTCATGTGTTCCACCTGGATGGTAGAAACCCAATTACTGGAACCATCACCACTGCATCTCAGCTTTTTCATTCGCAGGAAGCTGGTGTCAGGAGATAAAGCCAAGTCTCTAATGCATGCATTCCCATGTGGGTGCAGGTATCTTAACCACTAGGCCAAATGCCTGTCTCAGATTCTATTTTCTTATCTCCCTTCTCATCTGTGGACTCTGTTGAGTTACTCTCTTGCTGAATCTGACTGCCTGGGGACAGGTTCAAGTACTTGCTCACATCAGGATGCTGAGCAACAAATCAAGAAACTGTACTTCATTTATTTAAGCTGAACAGAGATCTGATTTTGGTAGCTAATGTTTAAATTTTTGGTACCTAATATTGAAATTTTTAAATCTCTTGTTCATTTTAGCATAGTACTAAAATGTACTTTTACATATAAACTACATGAGGAAAAAGATGATTCTGACCTCTTATGCAAAGCAAGCTTAGCAAATTGGCCTTTATTCCTTTCTTATTGTTCATAAGTACCTTGCTCACAAGATACAGGCTCATTGTTTTCTGGACATTCTTTTGTGTGTTTAGAAAATGTGTTTTTTTGTTTTGTTTTGTTTTGTTTTGACAGGCAGAGTAGACAGTGAGAGAGAGAGAGAGAGAGAAAGGTCTTCCTTTTTCCACTGGTTCACCCCCCAATGGCCGCTGCGGCCGGTGCGCCGCGCTGATCCTAAGCCAGGAGCCAGGTGCTTCTCCTGGTCTCCCATGCAGGTGCAGGGCCCAAGGACTTGGGCCATCCTGCACTGCCTTCCCGGGCCACAGCAGAGGGCCGGACTGGAAGAAAGGCAACCGGGACAGACAGAGGATTAGCCTATTGAGCTGCGGCGCCGGCCAGAAAATGTTCTTTAAGTTTTTTCATTGCCATGTAAAATTGCACATATTTATGGGGTATTGTGATGTTTCCATATATGTACACATTGTGTAATGTTCAAATCAGGGTAACCCTATCAACTCAAATATTTATCATTTCTTTGAGTTTTTTGAGATGGACTTTTTTTAATTAAAGAGAATGGGTTAGAACATGACTAATTAAGCTACCCAAAGTGAGGCATCTTAAGTAGTGACATTTCTATTAGCATTTATTTTTAGACTGAGCTTCAGTCCTTCAAAATACGGATTTCTGTTGCTTGGTGACAGCATCAGGTCAATATCAGAGTATGAAATCTTAGATCTAAGCTCACTTCTTTAAGGACGGAAATATTTTTAGAAGGCTAATATTTGGTTCTTCAGTCAACACATGCTAAGTACACAAACTCATGTAAACTAATTGCAAGTAAACAGAAATGAATCTAGAAAACCCTCAAAAAGTATGTTTGACTCCTTTTGAATCAGGAAAAGGAAGAAATTTTCAGATATTATGAAGAGTCTGTGTTAATACTTTCAAAGCATCTAGAAGACTAATTGCAATTTATTGGACAGAAACTAAACTATACAATGTCTAGGCTTGCAGAGCATAATACTAGCATAAAAGCATTCCGAATACCATTTTTCCAGCTTCTGAACTGTGTAAACTGTCTTCAGTTTAAAAGTGTTCATTCTTCCAAATCTTCAGAAACACTATTGAGCAGTATTGCGGGCGCATTTTATAATTGGTGTGCAAAACTATGGATTATTACCCCCTTTCGTCCCTTCACTTCCTGTTTTTCTTTTTTTTTTTCTTTTTTTTTTCTTTTTTTTTTTTTTTTTTTTTTTTTTTTGACAGGCAGAGTGGACAGTGAGAGAGAGAGAGACAGAGAGAAAGGTCTTCCTTTGCCGTTGGTTCACTCCCTAATGGCTGCTGCTGCCAGTGCACCGCGCTGATCCGAAG